TTCTTCAAGCCCCGGACGCCAGACAACGTAACGTGATCGACCGGAATCCTACTCTTCCGTACTATATATTTAGCAGGTACTAATTCGGTAGGCATTGGCTGCGCGAACGCGGCTTGCTCAAACCACCTGCAAGGACCACAACGGTGCACTCACCTGTACCAGTCATTATTGCACGTGCTACAAAAACCACCAGTAACCAATTCCAGTCCAGAGCGTATGGTATACCTCCTGCGTACTTACCAAGCGCATACGTTGTCGGCCCAGCTGAGCAAAACGACCAACGATCAACATGAAAACTCCGCCCATTAATGATCATCAATGTATACTTGCACCATCCAACCCCTCAACATTGTCCGTAGCTGCGCGAAACTCCAATCGCTTATGTTAACTCAGAAGGGGTGGCTCGTGGAAGTGCGAAGTACAAGACGACTCACCGACGGGGCAGACCTAAGTAGTAGAGGTCGTCGTCCTGGAAGTATTCGTTGACGTCCTCGGTAACGTGGAGTTGGCTTGTGATCTTCCTCATACATGCAGCATCATAGACTTGATGCGATAGCCATAGCTGCCACATTGTCTGGACCCCAAACCAACGCACTCACTGTATTGGGATTCAGGAAGCCACTTCCAGAGCTACCTACATGAGACGACGTCAATGATGGTCGTGTTCATGCCAGCAACAGATTTCTGGAATGGAAACTTCCTATACCATGTTATCTCTTCGATAGGTGTTTCGGGTGGAGTTACGAGGGTTCAACTAGGCCATCAGTTTGTTTATGGCCTCGCGGGGGGAATAAAAGGTCGCAAGGAGCTCACATGCGACCGTGGTCACAGTAGCGGTTGCGCTGCCAAGGATGCCGCATACGCCGAAGATGGGCAATTGTCGGTGCTCAACGAGAGACATGCCACCGCCGAAATCCAGAGGTATGAGCGAGAGGCCCAGCCGTGTGTGAGAGCTGCCCGGAGGGTATTCCACCGTTTCGGTTGTTGCCTTGCGCGGGTGATGTTGGTGTTGGGTTGGTGTTAACGAGTCAAGCCCGTCGAGAGAAATCAAAGTCGCCGGTGTTCCTGAAACGGGCAGTGTTGAATGCATACCCTCATCACCCTTCCAACTAGTCCACTTAGATCAGTCGTAGATCGTTAGTTTCCGGTCAGGAATAGCTAAAGGTCGAGGGTTCAATCCCCTCAGTGGATATCTTTTTTTTCCTTCGTCCGATCGTGCGCAACTCGATTGATGTCCACGTTTTTGATGCGCACGGCAAACGGTGGGGCGGTCTATCAAAAACACCGAGGGGCATACATGTTATAAAGAACCGTGTGCTTAGATCAAAGTATGCTAGATTGGGAGATGATAGATGTGACAGGCCATATGATAGTAGAACGTTGCAACCCGGATAGCAGAGTAAGAGTAAGAGCGAGCGATAGACAAAGGATGTCAGAAGGACGGGGATGAAAAAACGTCCTGTGGGTATCATAGTCGGCGGTTCTTAACTGAGCCCCGGAGTGGATGCGAGGGTGTTGCTTTGGCTG